GCAGTCCTCAACTTACAATCATTCAGTTAGTGACCATTTAAAGGTACAAAAGCACTGAAAAGTACGACTTAAAACAGGTCCTCATAGTTACGACGGTTGCAGCATCCCCACAATCAGCTGATCAGAATTGGGGGGGGGCTTGGCAACTGGCAGTTGTTTATGAGGTTTGTAGCCCCCTGGCATCGAGCGACTGGCACTTGCGACCTTCCCAGCCGGCTTCCGACAAGCAAAGTCAATGGGAGAAGCTGGGTTCACTTAAGGACCATCCAACTCACTTAACAACTGCACTCAATCCCTTAACGACAGTGGCAAAAAAATAAAATCTCCTTACTTAACAATGGAAATCCTGGGCCCACTTGTGGTCATAAGTAGAGGACCAGCTCAGCAAAAACCCAATGGGGACGCTGGATTCATTTAGCAACCTTGCAACTAACTTTAACAACTGCAGTGATTCACTTAACAACTGTGTGGAGAATGGTCGCAAAATGGGGCAAAGCTCACAACTTAACCCCTGTCCTGTTGACCAAGAGAAATCTTGCGGTTGTCAGATGAAGGACGTTGTCTCTGCAGTCCTGGTGCAAATGGCTGCGGAGTCTTTCCTTGAAGGCCTCCTTGAATGACGGGGCTGCAGGATGCCTGCGGGAAAGCCCACCCATCCCATCAAGGGTGCATCTGCAGGCAGGACTCAGGGGGCAGCAATGTTGGGCAGAGAATGAGCCCTAGTGCCCGTCCACCCCTTGGCAGACCATGGCAGGAGACCCTCTGGGGCTGGGGGCTGTTTCAGGAAATCCCGGTGCTTCCTTGAGAAGAGCCTGGGAGCAGAAGGGGACGGCTGAGCACACACCTGGCACACACCTTGCCCGCACTCTAGTGTCTGCTTGGGGCAATGCCAGCACCTTTGGCAAAGCAGAGGCCTTGTGGCAACCCGTGCTTCCTCTCTCGAGTGGCGGGCGCAGAGGGAGAAGCCCCTCCATGCAGATTCTCTTACCGAAGGGATCAGGAGGCCACAAAGAAGGGGATTCCTCCCTCTATTCCCCAAAGCCCCCCGAGGGCAGGACAAGCAGAAGCAGATGGGAACTGAGATCTGTACAAAAGACAAGGATTTTTGGCATCAGAGAAAGACGTGGTTGGAAGAGATCTTAGATCAAAAGATAGGTTTAAAACCGGAACTATTCCTATTAGGAATAATAAAAGAAAAATATAGTAAAGGAGGGACATATTTAATGCTGCATGTCATAACCGCAGCAAGATTGGTCTATGCGCAAAATTGTGAAAAACAGAGATGCCCCCCTCCCCCCACCGAAGAAGAGGTCATCAATAAAATGTTGATCTGTGCAGAAAGGGACAGACTGACACTAGAAATCAAAAATAGAGACCAGACAGAATATGGTGACATTTGGAACGAAATATATCAATGGTTGGAAATGGGGAAAAGGGGTTGGAACAGAAAATTTTGAGGATTGTAAAACTGGAACGGGATGATACATAGATAAATATATAAAGGAGGATATGAGATGTGCTAATAAAATCAATGTAGCTATGTACGATAAGTAGAAACTGTGGTGTTTTTTTTTTAAAGAATTTTTATTTTTTAAAGACAAACACAAACAAATAAATATCTAATAAATAAATATCTGTATAGTTTTTTAATTACCTTTTCATCAGTACCTGTCAGGATTTTATCTAAATCTGTCAATTTGTCATAAAAGCTTTCTATCTTAAGATCTTTATCATATCTAGAATGTATTTGCACATATGAAAACCAATTCATCCTTATACCTTGTTCTTCCAATTCTTGTATAGATTTAAGTTTACCCTTTGCATTCAATATTTCACCATATCTGTTTGTTCCTTTTTGTATGTTATTGGATATGAAAATGGTTCAATAGTTGATAACCATACGGGAATTTTTAAATAATGATGCTTTTTAATCTTCTCCCAATTTAATAGCAAAGCCTCACGT